TACCAAACGCTGCGTCTTGGCCCCTTCGGTCAGTAAGGAAGTGCTACCTCACGGGTAATTCCATGCTGTTAACGCCAGACGGGCCAGGAAACGGCGAGACAGCGTTAGTGCGCCCTTGTCTTGGGATGTCTTGAGTACCCCCCAGTCTTCCCTGCCCGGCGATCGTGGGGTCCCAAAAACCCAGCATCACTCCAACCGGGGCCGGGGCAGCTAGAGCAAGCTAGAGCAAAGATGGCACCCCCGGCCCGTGGTCATGGTGTTTTGTGGCTGCCTCCAACGGCTGGTCTGGTCTAGTCTGGCCTGGATAGAGGTACGAATAGGTAATCAAGTAACAATCCTTCTCCGACTAAATACCCAGCAGCTAACCTCACCAACCAGAACCATGCTCTGTCTCTCTCTCTCTCTTTTTCTCGATACTCATGTTCACCGAGTATAGAGTCCGAGCCCCCAGAGCCACTGTACATCTCTCTCGCTCCCTCGTTCCGCCTCCATGCTCCATCCCATGTCTCTCACCCGACTGGTTACTCATAGGTTCCCGTCTGAGCCTGGGTGCTCTATCCGGCCTGCATCTGTCGCTCATCACCGACACGCGCACACTGCAACCCCAACTCATCCCGCTCTGCCTCCCAAATGAGACATGCATGGAACGTCTAGCTAGGCCATACCGTAATCGACATGCTGTGCCAGTGTGCCTGCCGGACGCCCCTTGTCTAGTAAACTGCTTTGCAGCGTCTGTATACACTACGTGACTACTATGTAGGTGCCTTCCTGTGAGGACGTACGCACCTCGTACTCTTAAAAGGCAACCAAGAGATAGGACGACGCAGACCCTGAAGGGTCCCCCCTGGGAGCTGCTCCTGGTCAGCAACCAAACCCTGCAGCCGCTTCCCCGGCCGCCAACCACGATCCAAGCCGCCCAGAAGCCCGCAGACACAAACAACGACGAACCGCCGTACCTACCACGCTGCCTGGCCTCTCTCCGACGTCCAACCCAACCCCCAACGGCCCTGCCGCTTCTTCTTGATCGGTCGACCCGTGAACCCACACCTGACTATTCTAATCGTCATGAGCGGCCATACCGTTGCATCATACCACCATCTGACAGGGGAGCCATTCCCCCCAATCCAATCGACCGGGGACGTAACGAATTCTTGATTATTCTGGACACTCTCCAACACGGTAAAGCCCCTAATCTTCTGCTATCCATTTGACGTCCACAAGTCACCTTTTAGCGTCAAACAGGTTCTGGGCTGTGATTGGTTACTCGATTTGTTAACTGGATATTTTTTGAGGAGGCCTGATTCGACGAAATTCCCTGTTGATCAGCAGCACTAAAAGGTGTAGTCGTGGACGTCAAATGGATGGATATCTCTCAAGCCAGTCGCCACCGCCGCCTCCATTGGCCCAGAGACAGAGTCCTGCGTCTAGTTGTGCATCGTCCGTCGTTGGGTTGACGTCTGCTGCAGCCTGTAAGCTCGTCGTGCGGGCTTTACAAAACAATGATAGTCCGGGAGACTCTTCTTCCTGCTGCATGGGGCAATCCCCCTTACGCAAGCTCGCCTACCGAGTTTGTCACCACGTCTCCACAGAGAACAGATCATCGACCTATTTGGATTTATGGAATCACCCAAGCCAACCGATGCCTCGCAGCAGAACGGGCACTAGAGTTCCCGTCAACGAACCGGAACGGCCAAACAAATCCAAACACCTGGGATTCAGGATCTACCACAGCCCAGGTCTCGGTTCCCCAGAGTATACCCATGCTGTGCCGGGCCTCGTTGGCCTGCCTAAGTACATGTCTCGCCCCCAAGACGGCTGTTCATATTCTCGAGTGCCCACAAGCATCCCTCTTGCATTCTTGAGCTCTACTTCCACCTCATCCTCAAGCTACTGCGGATTCTCCGGCTTGAGCAGGAGTAGCGACGTAGCCAGGTCCTAGGAGCTTCTGGTTGTCTTTTCGTCATCCCAGATTCAATTTTCAGAAGAAACAGTTCATGCAATCACCGTTGCGTCGGTGATGCCGCTGTCCAAAACCTCTAGGGCCAAGGCGGGGCTGTGTCAAGAAAATCCTTCTCCGACTGCTATTCCTCCTCAAAGGAGTATCGATGTCCTTGATTGCGGCCGAGATACTACCATTTACAACAGTTCAAGAGTAACGTTTCTTGCGGGATCTTATTCATAATTCGATTCTGGTGACGAAAACAGTCGGCCCCTTCAGACTTCATTCGCCCCTGGCATGCGATATTCAGCTAGCATCTCATACCAGCTCCACCGAGAGGCGATTGCTTTTGGCCAGACGTGCAGCTGGTCTGCAAGCTTTTCGTGCCAGACCCGAGGTTCATACTCTTCTTGCCTCATCTACTTCCCCTTCCAAGCACTTCCGAGGCCTTACTTCGCCTCCAGATTCAGCCGCTCCTTTGTCACCTCCTTGATCTTGCATTCATCTACATTGCCTTGTCTCTTTCAGCTATTCACCTTCATGATGCTATTTGATAAACCCCATCGGCGAAGGCGAGACTATTCGGGCCTGAACTTTGATCTAACGACCAGATGTCCCGGTTTCCGGGCCTCCTCCATGGTCGGTGGTCTCCTTATCCCGCCTAGCGGCACGGGCTGGCTCTAGTCTCGCAGTATGCTGGAAGACGACCCCAGCCCAGCTAACCCCAGCATCCTTGTCCACACTCCGTCGGACCAGCCTCGGCCATGTCAGGCAGGTAGTCCTCCACTCGCAGTGTAGTGTAAATCTCTTCAGGATACTGATGATTTGCCGGTTTTGACGCTTTCTTTTGCGTGCAGAAAAATGCCTTACCTAAAGTCTCTTGGCCCTCTGAATGCCCGCTAGTTCATATTCCTCCTCCCATCCTCGAGCTTCGTCTCGGATGCAACAAACGTGAGCTAAGGCTTTCTACCCCACTACCTTCTGCATCTGGTAGATGCCCAATATCTTGAGACACCTGGTTGGCTTTCATTCGTGCCCATCTGGAAGGGACTCCCCCGTCCGTTTCCCCCCCTCAATCCCGAGCATAGCTCCTTTTACTTGTCAGAAACTGCTTCTGTCACATTTCTGTTGTTTCCATACTGAATCAGTCAAGTGTCAATGGAGGCGGTCAGTACCTCACATCTTTAACTTCTGATAAACGCCCAGGCCAACAACTGGTTGCTCTGATTTACGCGAGAAACAACTTACCAATCTTTTTGCTGCAGGAAAGAGAAAGGAACCGCATCCGAGATAATCAACGCCGCTCGCGAGCTCGCAAGAAAGAGTACGTCCAGGAACTCGAGCAGCGTCTTCGTGACTGCCAACTCAAGGGCATAGAGGCTTCAGCAGAGGTTCAGCAAGCTGCACGCCGAGTCGCAGAGGAGAACCAGAAACTTCGACAGCTTCTCGGTGAAGTCGGCCTGGGCGATCATCAAGTCGACCAGTACTTGAGAACGGATGTCCTTGATCATGGGGACGGACGTGATTTCCAGACTCACGCCACAGCGGGCAGGAAGCAGGGGCACGCAGTGAACGCTCTCGATAGCATCATGGCAGCGAGGCGACCAGACTCCCTCGATCTCTCGAGGCCCTTTCCTGCAACAGGACATCAAGCAAGATCTGACCCAGCCTCTGCTTATGACACGGCATCCAACTCCCCGAGCGAGAGTTATGGTGCGTTGTCAGAAGATGCGCAACAACCGCCGTACAGGGTGGATTCCGCACCATCAATGAGTGTGCCGTCTCAACCGGCCTATGTCCAGACGAGAGGGCCCCGATTTCCAAGCGACGATCACGTCCCGCAAAGCCAGCAACCATGGCTTCCAGGAGACCCCACTCCACCTTCTGGTAGCGTAGCCATTAACATGCAAAGCTACGCGTCGAACCAGTCTCTGCACTTTCACCCAGCATTTCCTCGGACAAACTCAACAACCTCTCTGCCAACAAGCTGTCAGGGGCATACCCCTTCACCGTACGCGGTCTACGACCCTCTCAATCAGGCTCAGTCCTTTATTTCTCCCCATCTGGGGACGGGAAGTGCTGGCCACTCCGGCCCCGCATCTTTATGCGACACAGACTCTAGCGCGGAAGACCGACGAAATCTACAGACGGGCAACCTGAGAGCATTCCCATGGCCTCAAGAAGAATCTACGCATCCGCAATATGGTGCCCATGATATCGTATGGAGCCAGTATAGCTCCTCCTCATCGGCACCTAACTCGCGACCTCCTCTGGAACAACAACTTGACCCAGCTCGCATGCTGCGTTCCGACAGACTAAACAGACAATAGACGAGAAAGCCAGGTAAATTGTTCAGAAACGCGTCCTTTGGGACTGAGAATAGACTAGCTTTGCTGAAAGCCAAGTCGCGCTTTCGTTGCCAGAAAATGTGGTTCCAGGGATCTGCGTCAAAAGAGAAGAGGATCAGGGTGTTGAAGGAAAAAGAAGAGAATATCCTATTGTTCTGAAGTAAGGGAGCTCAGGAGATGGCAAACAAGAAACAAAGGCTACACGACATTTCTCGACCACCACCCTCTCTCGAAAAGAACCAAAACCGGTACATGTCTTTGGGCATCGGAATCCAGTCCCCAGGATTTCTTAACTGTCTTTGTCACATCGCAGCAACATTGCAAAATCAAATGTTGAATGAGAGACGTGGCGAATGGGGCACATATAAAGACCACGTACGGTGGGGAGCACGGCCATTGTTTCCCTTCAGCCCGACAACGACACGGATACAAATGTCTCTTAATGTTCTTAAAGGAAGCAAGATCCCCACGACTTGTTTCTGTTGAATTCCACTGTCTTCTCAAGCCATTGTCGTTTTTAGTGTTTCATGTCTGTTTTCATACGCTCGACACCCCATTTCTCGATATGGACCATGAACAGCCACAGCAGCAATCACTACAACCAACACGAATTCAATATTTAGAACAGCGGATAGACCTTTTGCAGTGTTCGCTAATATCCCAAGAAGTCGAAATCGGGAGACATCTAGCCGAGATCCGATACCGACACGGTCATGTCCATGAAGCTTTACAAGCGTTTCAGCGGTTGGCTGAGAGAACTGAGGATGCGGCCGTCTTCTTGACTAATATGCGAGGGCTAACTGAAGATGAGAGCGATGCTTTTGCTACGATGGAGAATGTGCTGTTGCAGCAGCAGCAGCTTCTCTTGACGCAGGTAGAGGAAGTTGAGCAGGGTATTTCAGGGGAGGTCACGGGCGACCCGATATCTCCAGTCGAACCACTTTTGCCGACTGCGTCAACCCCGACTTGGAATGTCCCTCAAGCATCGCCTATTCCTCCTCCGGCCGCCCCCCGAGAATATCGTTTTACACCTGACAACCAGAACGCGGCAAGCCAACTTGACTTTCCGTCAATAGCTCAACCGTCAGGATCTCAGTTCCCTCCGGCGGAGGATGATCGGGGCTTGGTCTTCGCGTCTGTGGCTCCAAGACGAGCATCGCCTCCTCCGCAAGCTGCCTTTGGAATCCAGGCGCCGTCACAAGCACCACCCGCCGGAATTGTTCAACCATTGTCTCCAGCTCCCAGGTACGAACCATGGCCAACTGTCGACCCCGCCTTCGCAAAATCAGCGCTGACGCCGATTTCCTTTAGGGGACAACATGTGTCTGAGCCACGTGCGGCCCATGACATGAGCGGAGCCGTGCACATCAGACGCCAACTAGATGAACAAGAAGAAAGACAAGAGTCGGAGCGAGATGCAAAGTGGTGGGCCGACATAGGCAAAGACATTTCGCCGGCGAGACCCCAGAACTCTCGTAAAAGACAGGGCGACGAGTTGCCCGGTACAGCTGGCAAACGACAGCAAACCGGAAACAGCCACGCGCGCGGTCTTCGTGGCGGAAAGGAAGAGGGGAACAAATGGTTCCGCGAACTCTTCAAGAAGTTGAATCCTTTTCCCTCTAGAGATCGAAATGGAAAGGAAAGCAAGCACCAGCATTCCTTTGGTAACGACCAGATCAACTCCGACACAAGTCAGACTCACTATCATGAAAAAAGCGTCGAAGGACTTCTCAGGATTGCTTCCCTGAAAAGTCAATTCCATCCGGTGCATCAAGAAGAAATGGCCGTCAGGGACCAACTAGCAGACCTTGTCACACTCTACGACAGCATGACCACTCGTTTCAGTCGTCAAACGGCCAGCAGTCCTGATTACGAGACACAAAGGCAGATCGAAACGCTGCTCGAAGCTTTCAGAAAGTTCCCCGTTGAGCTCTTCGATACCCCGGACACGTGTCGTACTCTTGAAGACCTCGCGACCTTTTGCGAAACCACGGACCGCACGACCCCCAAGACCCCGGAAGAAGAAGAACAAAAAGCGGCGGCGCTCGCCAGCGCTGCGGCGATGATAGGCCAGTGCCACGACCGGCTAGAGAAGCAGACTCTCTTTGCAGCCAAGGTTTTTGTAGACGGTGAAAAGACGGGGGGCCTGTTTGCAAATTGGATCAACGGGGAGCGTGGACATCTTGCACACGAGGCGGCGTTCGGGGAGAGGGCCCGTCAGACGCCGAAGCTTTTTCGCAGAGGCCGGGGGCAGTATCATGTAGTATAAGGGGTGTTTTTGGTGTTAAATGGGTCCATGTATACATATTAGACTAGAGAATTCGCTTGCTCTTTTTGTTAATTGTGTGGCGCTCAGTGCTCCCTCCGTCGAATCTCATACCAGGACGTACGTACACATCAAAAGACACGGGATATACCAGCCCAAGCATTGCTCACGATGTCAGCTGATGATTGAAATTCTCCTTTTTTCTTGTGGGGGGAAAATCCTCGAGACCAGTATTCATCTCATTCGTGCCCCCTGACGCCATTCGAAACCTCTTCGATGAACTACAAAAAGTAATCGGCCACCGGCTTCTTGGCCGGCATTCCTCTAGAATCCTGCGGCGCGGCCTGAAAAACGCGGTATCTTCTGGCTGGCCCGGGTAGCAACACATAGTCGTCGGTGCCTTTGATACCACCATCGCTGCGGCCTACATCGCCATTACTGCGAGCGAACACACCGGTGCCAGAGTCATCTTCCGCAAGCTCGAGGATGGCAGCGACGTTACCGCACCGGTAACAGTAATTTGGTGCCGACCACACGGTGACGATACTGGCGTCGAACATCTCCTTGAAGCCTTCCATGACCAGCTGATGGGCGCGGGCAATGAGCGAAAGATCGTTCTTATGGTTGAAGTCTCGGACAATGTCCGCTCCAAATAAGAATCCTGCACCACGAGGTGATAGACCCCAGCCATCGATATCGTCTGGGTCTGACCACAACAGGTCACACATGGCACCCTCGTGGGGTACTTCTTGCTTCCGGTCCAGAAGCCTGATCTTATCGACACTGTCAATGAGAGGGGAGAGACCTCCGTGGACGCAAAGAATAGCTCCTGCAGGGTTGCCGAGTGACCCCGACGAACTTCCCGATGCGCCAGAACCTGGAGGGCCAGTCTTGTCGCCGCCGGACGATGAAGGTGCACCATTGGGGCTGCTGGGAGTCGGCTGTCTCTGCGGCCTTCGTTGGCGGGGGAATCGACTCATGGTCGAGCCACTCTGATCGCAGACTTGAATCTCGATGTCGTCGCCGACGGGCTCTTGGCCCGGGGTAGAATTAAAGGTATGTGATGCGCCGAGAACGATGGCGCCAAGCGCGAGGTAGTCGAATACGTCACAGCAATACCGCCATACATTTGCGGAGCCGTACTTGCGTAAGCATTCGTCGTAGAAGCCGTATACGGTTGTGATCTGGCGGGACTCGTGGTTGCCTCGAATAAGGGTCATCCGGTCGGGGTAGCGAACCTTTAAGCACAGAAGCAGGAGAAAAGATTCGAGGGAGTAGAAGCCGCGGTCTACAAAGTCACCTAGACGTCGAAGGCAATGTCAGCATACCGCATACCGGGTTAAGATTGGGATGGAATAGCGGTGACGCACCCATGAAAAGGTAGTTGGTATCCGGTACGTCGCCGCCGACGCGGAAGAGCTCCATCAAGTCATGGAATTGGCCGTGAATGTCACCGCATATCTGGAAAGAAATACATTAACGCCGGTCCGATGTTGGCATGGTAGTCTGACGGAGGCGTACCGTTACGGGCGCCGTGACTGTGACGACATTGCCTTCTTCAATGAGAAGCTCGCGTGCCTTGTGGCACAGCTCGCGGACTTGCGCCTCGGGGATTGGGCGGCAGGCACGCAATTGCGCGATAGCTCTGGATTGAGAATTAGCATATGACAAGCTCTAGACCGATATAAGCCGCGGTTTTGCTCACTTATCGAGGTCGCTCATAGCGATGATCTCGGAGGGGCGCTCTGGTCGGTGTTGTGGCGGCGACCGAGGCCGGCGAGTCGCGATCGTTGGTCAAAGAGGTTTATGAGATATTCGTAACACGTCGCAAAGTCGTAGGAAAGATGTTGCCGTTGCGATTCGGGCGCGTCGCTTTTCCCCGGTTGAGTTGGCAAATTATTTGCGTCGCGATCAAGGCAGATTTAGCATGGCGTCAACGGCAGGAGACGTGCAAGGAACTGCTTTACTGTTGGCTTCGGCGGTAGGTCGCGCTGTGCCCCTAACCGCGCTAATTCTTATCAATTATCAGCGAAAGAGCCCACACCCACGACCCGCGCCGGGGTGGATCTGCGAGGAAGCATGTAGTGGGTACAGCGCCATCCCTGTCGCTGCGTTCCCAACCCCAGGCGACACCCGGGACTTGACGGAACGGAACTTCAGCTCGGAAATTCTGTTTTCACGACCCCCGAAGATAAGATCCCGTCAGGTCCTCAGGCAAGAGCCGTTGGCAGGTCATGGCACTTTTTGGTCCCACTCCAGTACGTCGGAATCCAATCATATGGCCTGAATTGCAATCCGACCATTAGCGTGAGCTTCACTCACGGGCCGGTTGCGAGAAATTCAGAGCGCAGGCAATAATCCACACCACTTCCAAGGTTCCCGCCTTCTTCAGCGGACTCTGCCCGGATTACCTGCCCCTCTCAGCGAGCATGGTACGGCGATAGGTGAGCACATCTTCGTGATTGACTCGATTATGCCAAATTCTGGGTTGCTGACTGCCAATTGCACCAGACAAGCCATCGGCCCTCCTTTCCGAACAAGAAAAAGACGCGATCATGCCACCACACCCCCTCCATCCGCGGTCGCGAATGACCTCATCCCTCTTCGCAACCACAGTCGTCGCTAGCTTCTTCGTCGTCGGACTGCCGCATCTGCTACCCTGCCCGGCACCCAGAGTCACTTACGCCGATGGCGACATTATGATTGGAGAGGATGGTCGCCGGAGGAGGCGGAAGCGTCGCGAGAACCCCGAGATCAAGGACGGCATCGTCAACTTTGACCAAGTCGGCGATGAGGAGACATTACGACTGAGAGAGGAGCGCTTGCGGAGGGAGTGCCCAGTACCAAAGCCGGGTGGCATACTGGGGGAGTGGTTGGGATTCCACGGACCGAGCAAAGAGACACCAGAGGCCTCAAGGTGACGATGTATGATACTTGTACAATCAAAGATACCATTTTTATTCAACGATGCGATGCGGCATAACTTCTCCGGGCCGTCGAGGAATGCGAATCACACACAAAGCAGCCTCCGGCTCGGGTCTGCAAAGTGCATGAGACCGGCTGGTAGCATTGTGGTGATCAACCCAACCACGTGCCCGTGAACAAGAGCACGGGAGGGTAGCCTGATTACATTGCTCATGGCAGGATGAAGCGTCGCCCGTACAACGTTGGTTAACTCGAGGTCATCCATCTGCGCGAGCGGAGCGACTCCGTGACGAGCGGTCGTCGATGGAGAAACCTAGTGGTGTTGGACGAACACTGGACCGTCCAAAATGACCCATCCGATTCTTTCTCCATTCATCAAGATCGTTGCCATAAGTGGTCGCCGCACTTTTCTGACTCTGTGTTTTTCAATGCTTCGACGTTGATTTACAACGCCAGATTCAAAGTTCGCGGGACGCCAGAGCCTGTCCCAGGTACAACCGGAGCTTCGCCGTCTACTCTAGTTTATGCAAGCAACTAAGCAAAACATATCCTAATGAACGGTCACTTGATGAAAGACAAACCAATGCCATCTTCTCTTTTTCTTTCTTCTTCTTTTTCACATCGCCTCAGTCGTGTGTCATCTCTTAGTTCACACGTGCATCGCGTCAATGAGACGTTGACCTTCAATTGCTGCCCGGAGTCGGGACTACTGTGCCATGCCGGGCCACCTCGAGCCACAAGCGCATACAAAAATGCACCAAACAGACATTCCCTCCAAAGGCGTTGGTCGAGCCTCGCCAAGTTTAAATAAGCACTCGTCCTTAAATCAAGGTTATTTCCAACAATTGTTCCTGAAACGCAGATGCAGTCCGCCCTTGCAGCACGTCACATCGGGTCTTCGATCCTTGTGAGGCAAGGGCCTGCAATCCGACGGGTCGCAAACCCAAAATCGAGGTCGGCAGCATTAGACGTCTTGGCCTACGAATACGGTTGTGCTGCCTTCTCTGAAAACTCTGCAGTCTCCGTCGACAGCCATTCTGCGTGTTTTCCAGGCATTTCATGATCGGTGCACATCTTCAAGGATCCCCCGTTTGCCCTCGACTTCACCTTCCTGTTCACGTCGCTATTTTCAACTGCCGTGGACCTGATCGCGCATGATCTCCCGGGAAACGCGAGGAGAGATGTGAGCAATGCATCCAGTTGCAATCTGGTTTTCTCAGTCGTGATTTTCGAATTCTTCGCGGCACCAGTGTCTTCCGTGGTAGTCCGGGCGATCGTGGAGGATGAGACGTCAGAAGGACTCGGGTAGTGATCTCTGCTGCTAAGACCCGCAGCATGTCACCGTACTAACCTCTAACATCTGCTAACATTGTCTGACACAGGGTGCCCCTGATGCACGCCTTGGCGTGCTGAGCGCAGCCATCGTCGAGCAGACCCGACGACCAGGGTCGTCAATAACATTATCAGGGTTGACTTTAGCTCATCGCGCGGAGAAATACTGCTGGGGGTGCAAGCGGTCTGATGTCCCAGCCGCCAAGAACGGCTCAGATCAGTCGAAACAGCCGAGGGACGAATCGTGAGCAACGACTGGAGCTGGGGGGGCGGCCGGGAGTTGGGTTGACGGGTGCCATCTGTTTCTTGACGGGGACGACTGAGACCGGCTTTCCTCAACCCATCTTCTTCCGCCCTGCTTTGTGGGGACGGATGCTGCTTCGAGAGTTGGGAGGTAGACGCCACGGCCCATTGGCACGTTACGCAAACTGGTGATCCTAGATGGAATGTCTCATGGGCCTGATGGATGCCGTCTGAAGCGCCATGTTTGGTCCGTGAGAGGTTACTCGATAACGGATGAGCTCCACTCGAGCACTTATGCTTAATGTCTTGTCCAGAACGAGCAGAACTTAAATAGCCATCGTCTTTCTCAATGAGATGGTTTTTTGTTCTTCATCCCTTCTCTTCAGGACAGTGTCTTTACCCCATCTTTCTATTCTATTCTCTCAAGAGGTAAGCAGCTTCTCCCCGGCGAACAGGGTTTGACGACTAATCTCAAGCAGCTGTGCTCTGTTTTCATTCATTCCACGCTTCTCCGTCGTTCCTTGATACCCACCGTAAGTCGCCCCTATCCGTTAACCCCGAAGACCTGATCTGACGAGACAGTTTCTCGTTCTTCCATTCTCAACAGTCTTTTCAAAATGAGGTCCTCCATGATTCTTCTCATTGCCACCGGCCTGGTGTCGGGTCTGAGCATTCCCAAGCTGGATGCTCGGGGTGTTGCCATCCGCGAGGAGGCCGCTGTTCCTGCCGCTCCTGCTGCCCCTGCTGCCCCTGCCGCCCCTGCCGCCCCTGCCGCCCCTGCCGCTCCTGCTGCTCCCGCTGCTGAAGCCCCTGCTGCCGAGGCCCCCGCCGCTGAGGCTCCCAAGGCCTCTGCTCCTCCTGCTGAAGCTGCTCCCCCCGCCGAAGCTGCTCCTCCTCAGGCTACTACTCCTCCTGCTGCTGCGCCTCCCGCTGCGGGTGGCGACGCTGCCGCCGAGGAGGAGAAGAAGAAGGCCGAAGAGGAGGCAGCCAAGAAGGCGCAAGAAGAAGCTGCCAAGAAGGCCCAGGAGGAGGCCGCTAAGCAGAAGGAGGACGCTGCCAAGGCTGATAAGGCCAAGCAGGAGGCCGAGAAGGCCCAGAAGGATGCTGCTAAGGAGGCAGCGAAGAAGGCCGAGGAGGCCCAGAAGGAGGCTCAGAGGGGCAACAACCGAGGCAACAACAACAACAAGAACAATAACAACAACAACAACAACAACAACAACAACAACAACAATGCTCAGGTCCTTCAGAACATCCAGCTTCTTCTGGCCGCCATGGGTCTCAACAATGTTGTCAACGTCAACGCTCTCGCTCAGCTCCAGGCCCAGCAGCAGCTCATCATGCTCGCTCAGCTCCAACAACTTGCTCAGCTGACTTCCGTTGGTCTCATCCAGCCCGTCCAGCTTGTTGGCTTGATGCAGCAGGGCATTGTCGTCAACGGCATCCAGATTGGTAAGTGAACTTGAGATTTCGATGTTGTATTCATCGCTAACTCTCTATTTCAGGCATGAGTGGCGGCAAGCAGTAAATGAGCCCTTAAAGCTCTCAATCACTGGACGAGTCGCAGTGGACCTGCCTTCTGTCTGGTTGTGAATGAGCACTTCGCCAGGATTGCTGCCGCATCACAGAAACCTCGCACAAGCTTGACTCGAGGATACCAGCGCCGCATGGCGTGTTGATATGGAGCAATAAAGTGCCGTTGCTATGAGGCCCGGGTCATGCCAGGGGCGATGAGCTTAGAGTTGGGAAAAGGGTTCCTCAGGAATCCGGATTGGGTCGCGGTGCATTACCAAAAGGCTGTCTTGGAAGACAGGGGTCTGCATGTACTTAATGTGTTTTATACAAACATGCATCTGCCAAAATATTATGACTTTGACGTATCAAGAAAGAAAAATTGTCTCGAGTCCTGTTGATCCTGGGGGCGGTTCGTGGTTTCAGTCAAGGGATCCTGGTAAGAGCCCAGACTCTTGGCACCATCACAACTTTTAAGCTTATTGTCTACTTTACAAAGAACAGCACGTGTGCGAAAGGTGAAGAGATACTTTTCTACTGACGTATGCCACATGCATGCACCATTCTGCTTCCCATCGAATCGTGGGAGCCTTCATCCAGTTTCAACATTCTGTCTGCCTTTACACTCTTCTACCTCAAACCACAAATAATACAATGGTAAAGTGAACTTGACCGATTACTCTGGACAGACGATGTCGGAGTGGATAAGATAA